AGGGTGTCCTACTTCCAGCATGGCTCAGAAATAAGTTTACAAATTGCTGCTTTCATATAGCCTTGCAGTTCCAGTTTAGGAATTTGACTAGGGAGAAATACTTTAAAAGGCCTGAAAGAGTTACTAAGCACCTGTGGCTGCCAATTCTTCCACCCTACACATTTGTCTTAGGAGAGGGGGAAACAGACTTGGAAATTCTTTTTAACCTCATACATGTACGGTAGTTCCACTTTCACATACTGGGTTGCCACTTAACTCATCAGAGCATAATAGTAATTACACCTGTTCCAAACAGCTATAGCACAGGTGGGGAACCCATTTCAGCTCAAACCTCATGGCGAACTTTCTGGGAGTTATGTGCCGTGGTACCTCGGGTTACAAACGCTTCGGGTTACAAATGCTTCAGGTTACAGACTCCACTAACCCGGAAGTAGTACCTCGGGTTAAGAACTTTACTTTATGATGAGAACAGAAATTGCGCAGCGGCAGCGGGAGGCCCCATTAGCTAAAGTGGTGCTTCAGGTTAAGAACAGTTTCAGGTTAAGAACGGACCTCCAGAACGGTTCTTAACCAGAGGTACCACTGTACTGGTTTGGCTTTGTGCAGGAGGGTTGAGTTACTGTCTCAGTTATTGCGTTTAGTTGCTAATGATGCTTTAGGAGTATGGAATTATTTTATTTGTAACATTTTAAGGCTTAAGAGAATATTTTGCTTTTCTGTTAGTTATGCTGCTTTAAATGTGGATCTTTCCTGCATTTGATTTTCATTTGCTCTATTTTTTATGTAAAATTGTATAGAAAATATTTTTTAAAATGTTATTTTACTGATGATTGATTTTAGTAGTTTTATAAGTTGTTTTGCATATGCAAAGGCAAACGCTATATATCATGAGACATTCTGTTTAGAGGGTGTTAGATTTTAAATTTAATAAAGATTATATAAAAAGGAAATATTTAAAAGAATATCAACATTATAATATAAATTAATTTGAATGTGAGTATGATCATTTAATGTTTTATGTTTATCTTCTGTTCTTCATAATTTTGAAACTAATACTATTAAGTGTGGCATCATAGAGTTCTGTTCATACATATAGAACGATCAATAGGATATACTTTCCTTAAGTTTTTATAATTTAGTATTCCTTTGTTCTTTACAACCACCCTGAGGGGAAGAAAACTGAAAGTGTGTGGTCATATATTAGATAAAATGGTAACACTTGACTAGCACATAATGTATGGCTACATTTTTCTTTGAACTTTCCTACTTTGTGGGTTGCTTTGCAATTTCAGTTTCCCTTGATGATTTCCTGTCTAAATAGGAAGGTCTTAAGGTTCATACTGTGTAGGAAGTGCAATTTAGAAGACCCACTTTAAAAACATTTGTGTTGGCCAATGATAAGGATTTCTTAACTCATGGGATTAAATTCCATGTCATTGTCTACAAGATGGTGGATTCGATCAAAGAGTTGCCCCTGGTTATTTTCTTGCTGTCTCTAGGAAAACATGAATACCAAACAGGTACTTGCTGTTCTTTAAGCAACACCCAATGGGACTGATTCTCCAAATGTCACTTAAACATTGATATTCAGAGCTGCTGTTGTGTTCTTTTTCTACTTGGCTTTGCCACAATACAGCTGCAGAAGTAAAAAGTAGTGGGTATCAGTAGTGCAGTTTTCACCATGCTGGTATGTCACATTTATGGACAAGAGAGGGGAGAGGAGTACTAAACATTACACAATCTTCTTCCTCTATATAATAATAATAATAATAATTTATTATTTATACCCCACCCATCTGGCTATTTCCCCAGCCACTCTGGGCGGCTCCCAATCAAGTGCTAAAAACAATACAGCATTAAATATTAAAAACTTCCCTAAACAGGGCTGCCTTCAGATGTCTTTTAAAGATAGCTGCTTATTTCCTTGACATCTGATGGGAGGGTGCCACTACCGAGAAGGCCCTCTGTCTGGCTCCCTTAACCTCACTTCTCGCATAGCTGACCTCAATAGCGGATAAGAACTCAGCTCTGACTGAGTGTGTGGAGACATGCACACAAATACGTTATATTTTCCTCGAAGGGACACTCCATTAGTGGCAGATAAATTTTAAATGCCATTCAGAATAACAACTACCTTAACAGTGACTGGTCTAATTCCATTCTATAAATACTTAAGAGAGCACACCAGATTCCTGCCTCCTTATACCAGATGAAAAAGGGATTAGGAGCAGAACTAGATGTTATGGGAGAAATACGGGGTGGCCAGCTCTGTATCTCTGCAATAACAATAATGTCCAGGAAGTTAGAATCAGCAGGTGAGAAAGCTTTGTCTGCCCACTCATTCAAATGCCTTCTTCTAGGTTGTTTTTAAATTGGTGCCCCCCTCCCAAAGCCAAATGAAAGCCATAATTGAAACTGACTGGGGAAGCAAAGGAAGTTGGGCTTCCTATGAAATACTCTTCTGGTCAGAGTGGAAAACATAGGGAGGGTGAGCTTATCTTCTGGGAGGGAGTCAGAACCACTCCTTTGCCAATTGAGAATAGCCTGGAGCCATTTGCAAAACAGAACCAGGTGGGAGAAAGCAGAAACACCCATTTCTTCTGTGGATCATCTCTTGAAGATCCCTGCCTTAACATTCCCACTATGTGGAACGTTTGCTAATATGACACCTAGATCAATCCACCACTAGATGAGCTTATTCTGTTGAGACCAAAGGTCACTCTGCAAATCCTCTGTTCACTCTTTATTACTTCTCATATTTCTAGGACCGAGCCTAAACAAACTAGATCATGCACTGAGCTCCAATTCAAAACCATGTAAGAATCACACACACATTATCGTTCCTGGGCTGGGCTGTAGCAGCCAGTCTCAGGGGTGGTTCTCCTGCAAGGGCCAAGAAGTACTAAAGACTGGTGGCATTTTTCTAAGATGTGCTTATTTACAAATATACAAAGCTGTGCACTGTAGGCAGCAAGCCAGACAATGTCCCATCTTTAAAGGATCACAGGTTCATCAAAGGCTTAAGCAATTGCATATCTTTGCAGCTTACCCCAATGTTGCTTCTTGCTAGCTAGATGCAACAGCCTGCTTCTCTTGCTGCCCAAAATCAAACTGCCAGGCAATTTCTTTCATGTTATGCACATGCACGCACACAAACAAACACATCCTGCTAGTTAAGCCCAAACACTGGCTGGTAGGTGTGACCTGCACATACCACCTGAGAGCCCCCACCAGCTTTCAAAAACCCATTAGGAAAAAAGACATAAAAGTCTAGAGGAGAGATCATTTTGTCTACTTCACAACACAATGAATCACCTTATACTATTGGCCCACTGTAGTGTACTGCAAGATGCACATTGCCACTGCTATGGTTTTTCAGACCTTCCGTTAACGACTTTGGAAACTTACCTTTCCTGTTCCATCCACTACACTTGGAGATCTGCAGAGCCATTTCCCCTTTGCTGCAAGCTGACCTGACTTTCATTATCAGTAGCTGAGCAACCTTTTAACAGGTGCTGGTACTTAACTTTTTTGCCATCTGCCTGGGATCAGCTGAGAATGATTACAATTACAACTACTAACTGAGGAGCTGGAGCTACACTAGATAATGCAAAACCCACAGAGAACCAATGTTTACTCTTCCTCCAGCCAAATGAATCAGTCTCTCAAAAACAAAATTAACTGAAAGAAGGAAAAGACTGATTCTTTTCTAAATATGTATTTCTAACTTGAGGGGAAATGGGATAAATTTTTGTAGCTTGGGTCTGTCAAGTCTTGGCTTAGTTCTTTTAAAACAGCAAGCAAATATTTTACTTGGGAAGCAGTCTTGAACTCCCCCCCCCCCATTATTATACAATTGCATCTTCTATAATCACCTTGGCTGCAAACGTGGTTGCAAGTGCCAGCTTTTGGGAGTCACTGTCTGGTATGGGAACTCAATAAGAAGTGTTTGCAGGTCAGTAGCTGTAAGGGCTTACTCATGTTTTCTACACCATGGAGGAGGTGGCAAAAAGACTAAGCAACTTTGCTTAGATTGTGGGGGGGGGGGGACAGGGATGGGGCAGGCAGTCCAATCCTTTTTTACTCAGCTACAGCTCATGGTTAGTGAAGAAAAAACTTAACCAGAAGCCCAAATTTGGACAACATGCTAAGCCAAAGCTGAGCTTAGTTCAATGAAGAATAAAGTGGCAGCAAAGGAGCTGCAAAGCTCCTCTTTAGCTCATAAATTTGTAAGGCCTTGGTAAGCCATAGTTTGGCCTACTGTTTTATGCAAACCAGGCCATAGTGTGCAAACTATTTGCACAAATATTGGTTTTGTTGCAGGGAAGAAAACATTTGCGTGTTTTCTCTAGTTTAATATATTTGACCGCTGTGTTCCAGAGGTAGACCCATCCCCATTTGCCAGGAATTCTAGTGGTCCAGGCTAGCATGGAACACAGATGTCTAAATAGTTTATTTATCTACATGTTACACTGATATATAGATTGTGCTGTAATACTAAGGAGTTACCTTAATTTGAGGTTTTGAACAAAAAGGAAATTGTAGATACATGAAGTTTTAGTAAATTATATAAGGAAACATGTCAGAATTATGCAATGCAAACATATATTAAATATGAGTTATAAAACAAACTTAGCTATGCATGACTAAAGCAACTTGAATTCACCATGAAATAAAATGCAAGCAAAAGTTGCTTAATAGAACTAGCACCAAATTTGTGCTTCATCTGTGCCAACTGAAGGCAATTCATGGCAATTCCAACAAAAGTAGACACCTTCAGTTCAAGATGAATTTGCAGTGCGTTCCTATTTGCTTTGATGAGAAAAATAAATATTTCTGGCATAACTACATTATAACAATGGCTGTAAATGAATAATTGGTCATTTCTTTTAAAGCACTGGAAGTGTAATTTCTTTGAAAAATGCTTCCTATTTTGTAACTATAATGCGGAATAAGCAATAATTCATCTTTCCAAGAACAACAAAGCTTTAAACAAGGTATTTCCACAAAATCTCATTTAATCTTATTTTACAAATCACACAATACGTTGGACTCCTCAATACAGTTTTATAAAATGACAATGTACCATTGCAACAGGAAGGGGAGAAAGAAGGGGGGGAAATAGAGAACCTGATTTCAGGTCAGACAATGCTGAATTAAGATAGGTCCCTCTGTCCCACTCCCCACAAAAAAATAAGACGGCCCTGTGTTTGAACCCATACTGTAATTATTCAAAGTTAGTTTTCCAGGTGAGTGAAATCAGAAATCCACTATGCTATCCTACAATCTCAAGTTTCAAATATCTGTAAATTTAGAAGCATTACTTGTCTGCCTGTCAAATTCATAATTTTTAAGTTAGTAGCTATAAATTCTTATTGCTAGAAAACTACAAGAGATCTATAAAGACCTGGTTGGAAACAAGAGCCTATATCATCCATAGGTCTAATTAATATGCTACCACTGTTGTGTGGGTGCCACACATTGAGACGATCAGGTCCGGCCTTGCATTGGTAACCTTTGTATATAGATGTACATCCTCAGCCCCCCCCCCCAAAGTGATGGTAGCAGGAAAAGGAACCAAATGTTTCAACTGACATAGGGTTTTTCTCATCAGTTGTTACCAGAGCAACGTGCAAGGCAACCACATGGAAGCGGCTTCTATATGAATCCATTTTCTACAAGTGGCTTTGAGAAGCTCTGTCTCATGGCAACTTTGCATATTCATTTACTTGCCCCAGTTTGGTACACATGGGGGATCCTCAACATGGACACATGTGCATGTTAAAAGCACCTGTGTCCTGTAAAACATTCAAAATAGCATGCCACTGAAGAGGTCTCGTGACCACATGCTGAAACTCACAGACTTTTGGCATTCTAAGTGCACATCTGACGCTTCTATTTGCCTTCTGTCCACTCCTAAGCACTTTGAGCTGGCTTGTTATTTTACTACAATGCTAAATCACGTAGCACTGCATTTGTTACAGCACAATATCTCAAGCACTAGCTAGTCTTAGGACTGGGCAATAGTTTATTCTGTAAAACAGTGAAGAATACTACCAACCTCTTGGAACACATGGCTGTTGTGACGATCAAGGAGTTGATTTCACAAAATTTCCTCATGCTTGAAGCACAATGGAAATATATTGATCAAAATGGGTTTGGTTTTCTGAATACAGAGATCGTAATGCAGCTTTAAAATCATAGAGGTATCACAGTGAAAAATGTTCAATTAGTGATTGTGTTAAAGTTAAGTAGTAAGTAAGAAATAGACATGACTAACACAAGGATTCTGATGCATCACTAAATCTAAAACCTGCTGTTCCATCTTCCTGGAACTGAACTATAGAAATCTTTATAGAGATTACCATCATGTTGGAAGCTTTCAAGCCAATTAAAATCAAACTAGAAGTCAAACAAACAACTTTGAATTCCTAAGGTGGGGGAGAGGAGAATGCTAAATGGTCATGTGATATGATAAACAGAGTCACCGTGTGATATTTAATGTAAACTTCATAGCTCTGACCACAGAGCAGAGCCAAAACACCACTGGACAGCAACAAGTGGATGTTTCAGCAGCACAAATACCTTAATTGTACAAGGAAACACACAAACCAATCCTATGTGTGTTTTCTCAAAAGTAGGTCTCACTAAATTCAATGGGGCTTACTCTCTCAGTAAGTATGAGGCGGCAGTCCTATGCACACTTATCTGGGAATAATTTTCATTGAATTGGATTTACATCTGAGTAGACACACATAGGATTGTATTTATAATGCAATCTATTATTAAAATAGGAAATTACAGTTTTTGTCATGAACTATTTTTAGATTGTGCACATGTGCACATACACTCAATTTACCTTGAAATCTGAGATTCTCACTATCTATAAATAGATGAGTTAAATACTGCTTTTCTGTAACCCTAGGAAAGAAAGCCCAGCTTCTAGGATGCCATTATACAAAAATCACACCATTTCCCCACATTACGAAGTTCACAATAGATGTAGCAATTGATATTAAACACCAGGTTAATATTGCACAATATCTGTGCATGAAATAATACAACTCTCTCTTGTTGTTTTATATTTTATTCATTTTTGCTCTTAGATTATGCATATTCTGTTCACCCAAGATGTGCAAACCTAGAGATGAAAGCAAGTGTTTAAAGTTCGAATGAAATCAAGCAGCAGTGAATTCTCAGTTGAATAAGCCACAGTTGTTGAAATAAAGTTGCTTCAACATGCTGTGGTCATTATACCACTTTAGCAAAAACAAAAAACAAAAAAACCCCAAACATGTTCTCTTAGGAGCAAGCAGCTAAAATACTGAAAGAGTGACCTCTAGTGGACTGTCAGGCCTCATTGTGATAGCTACATTTCTAAGACCTGGTCTACAACCAGCTCCAATCAGTGTTTGGCAAAAGAAGGCACAAATCATTGCAAAGACCAATTTATCTTCATTTTTTTCCTTTTAAATACACTATTTGTACACAAACTTAAGATTCATCTTGTAGATAATTTTTGGACAAAAGATTGCATATGTAATCGTATTTAAAACAACACATAAAGCTGTTCTATGTGAAGCAAGAGAGAGAGAGAAAGAAAGAGAGAGAGAGAGAGAGAGAGAGAGAGTGAAAGAGAGAGAGAGAGAGAAACAAATAAAGGACTCCTCACCCAGATATCAACATTCATTTCTGGCTATATGCAATACAAACATTTTAAGAATCTGTGTGACAAAAGACAATTTAAAAAGTCAAAATCATAAAACCTGTAAACTGATAAACCTGAAGTAGATTTTACTTATGGAAAACATCATTAAAATAGTACCACTATGAACTAAACTGCCTGAGTTTTCAATTGCCTGTGAACTTGAAGTAGAGAAGATTTTAGCACAGCAAGAAGAATTTCAGTCACAACAGTGCGATAACCAAGCCACATGGAAATTCCTCCTCTTCACTGGAATTTGTGTTGTGCTATTAAAACTCTTGTGCTAGTTGTTCAAACAAAGGGGTGTAGGCAGATCTTTAATCATTTGGCACAAAGTTATTTTGTCTGGGGCATAAAAGTCTCTGTCACGATGAATAATACAACATTCCATCTATCCAGAATTCACTTTGATTGAAGAGCTTTCTTTATATCATTAACTTCCATCTGTAGAAGGACAAAAAGTTCCAGTTTAAACCATTTCCATGCAATTCGCTTTTGAATCAAATGTTAACATTGCCCAATGCCTAATACATCCTTCTAGCTAGGCAGTGGCAGCATACTGTATCTTCTTCTTCAAGTCAATGTCAGAAATTACTCAGAAAATAACACCGCTCGTACCATACTGTCATTATATTCATACAAAGCATGTTGCTGTCCCCATTCAGAATACTGTATACAGCTCAGAAAATCCTACGTGGAAAGGATGGAACCAATAAGGGAAAGCATAATGTGCTGGAGAATTCTGTAAAAAGCCCAAGATGACTAAGTCTTGAAATCCAACCCCCTGATTGGCAGAAGCACAGCCACTGCCGCATTTGTGAGCAACACCTCTCGTGAAGGCCAGGTGGAAGGTGGGCAGAAAAATGGTCCTTCACTGAGCTGCCAGTAGAGTCTGGCCGGGTTGGTGGAGACACAACTCTCCCACTTCCAAACCATGTCAATAGGGAGTTGGAATTGCTCTTTGAGTATAGGTTAGAGAGGTTCTTAAAGTAATGACTGGTGCAGAAGGAACAGAGGAAGAGAAAGTTTATTATTAAAACTCTGGATTCTGCAATGAATTTGATGGGTGGGTGGTTCACAGCAAATTAAAGTAAGTAGGTAAATGAGTAAAATATGCATTTATATTAATTCATTAACAGAAGGATGTCATAATGGCTATTCCCGCCCCCCTTTTTCTTCTTCTAATTAAAGTTAGATTAGCCTTCAGCAACTTGGTGCCCTTCAAATGCTTTGGACTACAGCTGCCAACTGCAGCCAAGGGCTGATGGGAGTTGTAGACAAAAGCATCTGGATAGTAGCAGGTTGCCAAAAGCTGGGTTAGACAGATCCATGGAAGATGGACCTTTAGGGTTCAGTCTAAATGAGACCTCTGTGTTCAGAGGCTTTCACTTTGATACCCTGCTTACGAGCTTCTAGAAACATCAGCTATTCAACAGACCACAATATGCACTTTACAGGCAGCTGCAGAACATCAATATTATTAACAACGGGCTCAATGAGGTGGTACAGTTTGATTTGAAAACCTTTGCGTTTGGCCAATCCTTGGATTTCCTCCATAGCATCTAACTATACTGGTCAGCTGTCTCTCTGCCAAGAAGGCAGCTCTGAATGTTATAGTCTAGAGCAGGGATGAGGAACCTGTGGCTTTCCATATGCTATTGAACTCACATCATCTGTAACTTGCTCATGCTGGCTGGGCTGAATCCAACAGCTTCTGTAGGGTCAGAACTTCCCCATTCCTTCTCAAAGAAGGCCTTAGAAATTATTTCTGTATGAAGTTTTTGTCACAATGTGGAACTCCCCTTCACTAAAAAGATCAAACCACGATCCATCAAACTTGTGGAGAACTATAAAAGGGATGATGATGATGATATAGTGGAGGAGAGCAGGGCTTAGCAGCTCTCCCCTTCATACAGCTGTTTACACGCAAGTAATCTGAACGCCCAAACAGGGCTTACCAGTTTCCTGCTTTAATATTAGCACAGCAACATAGCTCAACTTTCCACAATGATTGTGCGCTTTTCAGAAAAGCACTAAATGTTTAGCATATGTAGACTAATATGTAGTATTTCATTTTGAGATATGGAGGCATGTGATACTGCACAGGCATGCACTTACACAACTCATCAAAACTTTGAACAAATAGCAACTTGTGGGGAAGAAGACAAGTGTGAGCAGAAAGGATTAATACACATTTCCCAGCACTATGGTCACTTATTCTCCCCATTTATAATACAGTAAACCATAGTTACTTTATTGATTTTTTTTTTTACTGTTTCTGGAAATCAAAATGCTTTGTGGATAGTATTATTTCAGGTCTTGGATGCTGCAAAACATCTTAATATTGAGCAGGGGGCGGGCAGGAAGGAAATCTCTTGTTTTGTTTATTATTTAAAAGATTTATAGCCTGCCCTTCCTTCCAGGGTAAGTTGCAACACAAAATAAATGCTAAACTACCATCAGTAAAACAAAAAACAAAAAATCTTACAGTTTCACATGTTTTTGTATTTGTTTCACCTTAACCAACTTAAACAAATTAAATAATAGCAGGATTATGTTTGCATTAGGAGTTTTTATCTTCTATTTTTATTTTCCATGAAAATTGTTCTCTTTCTAAAAAAGTTGTCTAAGGCCACATATGATACAAGTACCTGTAATCGTAGCCGGATCTTCTTTTCTTCATCTAATTCAGACAGCAATTGTTTAATCTCTTTTCTAGAAAAAGCAAAATAGGAAGTGAATAGAACAGCAGGCAGCTGCTTAGGAAGGTAGGTGTGAAGAAAGTCCCACCCCTTTTCCTATAATATATGGTACCTAACTCAGCTCAGCAGAATTGCTGTTCCTGGAAAAACTGAAAAGTATCTCCTGTTTTCAGGCATGGCAAAAGAAGAATAAGAATAAACCCTACTGAAAACAGAGATTATAGATAGCATAAAATCCTTTAAAATGACTAATACCAGCAGAATTCATTGTGGTATAAATAAGTGTCCTCAAAGTAGCAGCATCTTGAGAAAATATAGCAAGATGTAAGATAGGTAAGTATAGTAGGGATGTTACCCATCTTTCAAAATAATTTGGGGAAGATTAGTCAGCAACCTTTCCAGGTAAATGAAAACATGGCACTTTTTAAAACAAGTTAAGCTAAAAGAACTGAAAAATGCAATAAAGTTCTCCACCATAACTAATCAGTTTGGCTCTGAATACAGAAGCTCTAAATCCATCGTTCATACATTTTCATCTATCTGTAAACCAGCCTTCTCCAACCTGGTGCCCTCCAAGTGTTCTGGTCTACAACTCCCATCAGCCATTGCTGGCCTGGTTATGTTGCCTGGAGCTGATGGGTGTGGTCCAAAGCATCAGGAAGGCACCAGGTTGAGGGAGGCTATTCCAAAGAAAAAGACAAATCATGCAAACACATAAAAAGTTATTAATGGACACAAAGGGATCTGGCTCACATGGGGTAATGTATGGAAAGGGGATAGTCTACACCCTCCAGCGATACTAGAAGGATCGAGTAACACTCACTTCTGCTGGTCTTTCATTGTTTCAATGATAGTTCGCAGCTCCTTCACTTGTGTTCTTAACTCATCCAAAGCTGCTTCACCTTGGCTGGATTGGTCAGTCTTTGGCTTTCCTTCACTGCTGAACAAAGATGGGGAATTTGACCTATGACCTGTTGTTCCTGCTGAAACTGGATGAAGTGCAGATGAGGATGATAATGAAGATGGAAGATTACTTCCACTTGTTAAGCCTCCTGGCTTGGCAGGCAGTGAAGCTTTGTTATCAGATACCTATAAAAAAAACGACAATATCACACCCAAACATTAAAATGCTAACAAGAAAAGGAGCTCCAGTATCCTATGTTTTTTTCCTCCTCTTCTGCCCAGCTATGCTGAAGAAATCCTGTCCAGATGTTCCATAAGAATTGGCCACCATGTAAATAGCATAGCTTCTCAAACACATCTTTCCAAATTGATCTTAACATCATGCTGACGTGAGCCTGCCAGGAGCTGCCACCCATGGGAATGCTGCTGGGCAAATTTCATTCTGAATTGCTATTACTGACCAATGAAAAATGTCACCAGAAACTGGGTCAGGATGTGTATGGGGGAAATATGCAAAAGACAACAGGGCCCACTCGCACAAACAAGAATTTCTCCTGTGACATGAAATAATTCAAAATTATGTAATAGCACTTGGCTGTTTTGTTTCTTGTTTTTAAATATAAAGTGTAACTAATCAATTTGGCTCTGAATGCAGAAGTGCTAAAACCACCATTATACGGTTATATAATAACCATACAGAGAGAGATCACAACTCAGTGGCAGAGAACATGTTTTGCAAGCAGAAGGATTTGGATTCAATCATTAGAATATTTAGTTAAAATAATTTCAGGTAGTAGGTGGGATAAGGGAAAGTGGGGACAAATAGTCTAACCAGTATAAGGCAGGGATGGGTAGATAGGGCTCTATTGGTAGATCTCTAGTGAATTCAAAACAGGTCATCAAGGATTTCTGACTCCAACTGTTATTATAACAACAACAACAACAACAAAATGATACAAACCCTGCCACAAAAAAGGATAGAGATGAAATTAAGACAACTGTAGGTGGTGACGGTGGGGATAATCAGGAAGAGATTTCTGTGTGAAAGGGTTATGTTCTGGTACGCAAAAACAAATCCCTGGGAACAGAATTCTTGACTTCTAAGTGTGTATCTTCTGAGCCTGGCTCTGATTGTTTTTACTAGAAGCCTGAGATCCATCAAAGTAAACCCCACAAGACTCATGTCTGCCCTTGCTTTGGAATGACAGCTTCCTCTGTTCCTATTACTTAAGCCTTTAGGTTCTTTAGAACCTAAAGAGTTTAAGGTTATGGAAGGAAATGGAATTTCTAAAACAAAAGTAGTCTAGCTGCTAAATGTGTCTTATAATACCTCCTATAATGTAGCATGTGTATGACTGCAATCCTATAACAACTTTTCTGGGAATAAGCCCAACTGAACTCAGTGGGACTTAGTTCTGAATGGGCAGGTATAGGATTGCATTCTAAAAGTCTGAAATGAGAATGAATAAATGTCTGCACAAGTGAAAGAACTCTGTCCTCAAACATTTTAGAAGACATAGTTTGGTTTGCTATATGGGGCTATACTTGCCCCCATTGAAAAGGCCCTGAGGCAGAAAACTAAGTTTGAAAAATGAGAGATGTTGCTGAAATCATTGCCTAGACATTAAATTCTCTGGACAAGTCACCATGGAATTGCTCAGATGTCTGACTTCTTAGCAATAGCTTGTATGCAGTGGAACATGGAATTGTACTTATGATCATATGGATTTATCACCAAACACATCAAACTGTGTGTGATCTGTGTGTATATGTCATGTTGATTTTCTTTTCACCCTTTTAGGAAGGGGAAATAAATGTGGAAATCAGGAGATCATGCACCCCAACTTTGAAGTGGAAAGACCATACAGATCAGATTGTGCATATTAATGGACATTTTATACTGTACTTACCTGTGCCCCAAAACAGCGACACCATAATTACATTAGCAACCACAAGTAACAGCCCTTGCTATTGATACAAACAACCTAAATCACTTACTAGCGATATTGTAACAGTCTTTGCTTTCTTTAATGGTTCAGCTACTTTGTGCGGAAGAGAAACATGTTCCTCCTTTTCATCTTCAGGACTTGGTGAATCAAAGAAGTCAGGACTTGAAAGTGAAGACTGTGGAAACATAGATGTATTTTCTTTCCACAAATACTTAAATGTAACAGACTAACTTTCAACAAGACAGAAGCATTGCGAGACCTAATCCCCAGATACAAAATGTGTATACTACTAATCTACTGTGGACCACACTCTACACAAGCATTTGAAAAGTATGGAGTAAGAGCTAAGCAGGGTTCTCTTGCCTTGATTCTGGTCACACTCCACTCCTGTTATCCCCTTCCTCTGTGCCCAAGGGGTGGTAGCAGTGGCAGCAAGCTTCACAATGGGGAAAGGGGATGGGATAGGAGGTGACAGAATATTGCAATAGAGGCCTCATCTGCACTCTACATTTAAAGCAGTATCATACCGCTTTCAAGAGTCCTGGCTTCCCACAAAGAATCCTGGATATTGTAGTTTGTTAAGGGTGCCGAGAATTGTTAGGAAACCCCATTCCCATCACATAGCTACAATTCCCAGAGTGGTTTAACAACCAATCCCTCTTCCCAAGCAACTTTGGTGCAAATGGGGCCAAAGATGAGAGAGGCCTCTCCTTATTCAGGGAAATGAGGTTGACAGGGTCTCTTAATACCTTCCCTATTAATTTAGTAATCCAAGTTAGCATGTTGGAAATTTCTCCATATGCATCGCACCTGCATGCAGGGAACTCCCATGGGCTCAGCGGGTTTACCGTAACAATTTCATCCCATGACTCATGTGAGAATTATCATTATTCTTAATAATAAACACTAATCAAGTACAAAGCCCTATTAAAAGAAATTGCTAGAACTTATTTCTGCTAACATTTTAAGCTGCTGCTACTGGAATAGGTATCATGAGGTAGAAAAATATATATTAATGAGATGCAAAGCTGGATCCAAAAGGGCTACTCCATGATGGAAGGCATCTTCCTGAGACAAAAGGCCTGTTTTTACACCTCATGATGAGAGCATTGCACAAAATATATTTTAGTGTTTTTGTGAAACCTCCTGGACAAACAGAGGCATGAGAACTGCTGATGAAATGGGCATTGGACTGTGTGAATCCTTGTCTAGGCGCAAATGGATTTAGCAACTATTTTCTTTCCACTCTTTTTGTGTGTGGCTCCAATCCAAATAACATTTGCAAACAAGCATCAAAGCATGATTGCGTGTTTGCAATTAAGCTAAAGAAGAGACCAAAAAAGGGGAAATTATAGGTATGCTGCAAGAAATCTAACAGGGACACTGACAAAGCAAGAAACCTTATTGTAAGTAGATGTGAGTCAAGCAAATACTGAGTACTTCCTCCCGCCTCCCAGGGTTAAACCACTTAGGGAATTGGATGATCTTAAAAACATGAAAATATATATCTATATACCACACACTGTCAAAATTACCAAGTCACTCAAGAAGGAAAAAAATGAGATTTTAAAACTACAATAGGTATGATAAAGAAGGGCGATAGGTGCAATCCCTGGCACATCCAAGGTAGTGCAGCAAATATCCCTGTCTGAAACCCTGCAGAGCCACTGCCTGCCATTATAGACAATACAGGAAATAGACCAATTGTCTAACTCAGTGTTTTATGTTCTTAAATATCCAGTTCATAGAGGATACTTACAGATGTGAATGATTGTGAAGGAGGTCTTCTGCCAGTAGCTTTTGGTCTAGTAGTTGTTGGATGACTGAGCTTCTCAGCAACTGGTATTACGGAATCAAAACCTTCCAGATCTTAAAAACATGAAGAGATATATATGCGTACACATTAGACACTGTCAAATCATGGAGTCAACTCAACAAGGGAACAAATGAGATATTTAAACTACATTCACATATTACATTGTATTTCTGTATTTCCATTCCGTCAAATCCAGGTTTGCTAGCAGAACCCGTTTGTAAAAAGATCCTTGATCCAGGGTTGTTTTATGCACATTTATATGCATTTTTATTTAAAATATACTCAGGCTAGCTAGCTCACAACATGCATTTAAAACAACAATACTATAGCTCAAAATAATTGAAAACGAATTAGTTAAAATGTGTTTAGATATTTTAAAAGGTGCAAAGGTTTTGCTGCCAGGGATCATGGGGTTAAAGCAGAAGCTCCATAATCCCCAGCAAGAAAGGACATTGAACGCATCATGTACGGTCAGTGAGAATCCCAATCTTTCTTAGAGAAGGGTAACAGGCGGGGCTGGCTGGCTGGCATCAATTGGACTCTGAATTTTCCTACAGAGCACAAATGGGGGACCTGTGGCCCTCCGGAGGCCATTGGACTTGAATTCCCATCAGTCCCAGCCAGCATGGTCCATACTTGGAGTTGATTGAAGTTATAGTTCATCCTCATTTTATTTCATCCCATTAAGATTGAAGTACAGTAACCTAAGCACCTTTGCTTTATATCCAACTACACTTTCAAAAGCAATAATAGAATCATAGGATTGTAGAGCTGGAAGGGATCCTGAGGGTCATCTAGTCCAACCCCTGCAGGAATCTCAACTAAAGCAACTATGACAGATGGGCCATCCAACTTCTGTTTAAAAACCTCCAAAATAGGAGAGTCGGCCACCTCCCAAGCAGGAGTGCCAACTTGAATAAAATATTGGGGGGAGGCAGGTAAGTCTTGTCCCGCATAATTGATCACAAGATGAGGCCACACACCCCATTTGAATGGCAATGCCCATCAACCGGGGGGGGGGGGAGACCAACCCCATCAAATATTTTATTGGTTGGGCGAAGGGACCTTGGCGCCTGGCAGGTGGCTCCTATGTTTCCAAGGGAGTCCATTCCACTGTCGAAAAGCTCCAACGGTCAAAAAGGTTCTTCCTAATGTTTAGTCGGAATCTCCTTTCTTGTAACTTGAAGCCATTGCTTTGGGTTCTACCCTCCAGAGCAGAAGAAAACAAGCTTGTTCCCTCTTCCATGTGGCAGCCATTTAGATATTTGTATCTCCTCTCAATCTCCTCTTTCCCATGCTAAACATACCCAGCTCCTTCAACTGTTCCTAATAACGCTTGGGTTCCTTCAGAGGATGGATATTTCTTTGTTTGTTTTCTTATTTCATAAAATTTATATACTGCTTGATTGTAAAAACCCCCCAATAAACCCTCAATGCATTTATCAAAAGATAAAACAGTAAAATCAAGAAAAAAACACAACCCTACTTTAAAACATATTAAAGGGCATGTTATGCAGTAAACAAACAAACAAACAAGCAAACAAACAAACAAGCAAAGACAGTTTAATAGCCAATATTTAGGGTCAATGAATAATTTAATAGCATTTTCACAAGTAATAATAATGACAATAATAATCTTAGCTGGCAATAATTTAATAAGCCAAATTAATCAGAATGCATACTTAAATTTTAAAATTGCTTTATTTTCTTTATTTTGTATTTTTTAAAAGAGTCTACAAGAGTTGGCAGCATCACTTTGCAAAGGCCCTGCCTCAAGAGTGAAGTATCCAGGCAATTTGCTTCCCTCAGCCTGCAAGCAACTGCTCCCTTTGACTCCTAAAAGGTCTGCTTCTAATCGTTCCTTTAGGTCCTGAAGGATGCAGGCTGTCCTTACCAAAGTGAAATGTTACACATGCTGTCAGTCAGTATTTGACAGAGTATGAAGTTGCAAGTTGACCCTTACAGAGATAAGATGATACAATAATGTACCGAGAGCTTCCTATTAGGTTCGTGATGCCCAAGAGTGTAGTGTAAATTTATGATCCAAAGCTCAATTTATTTCCATTAAAAAATACACAAAGTATTTAGTGTTGTCAAACTTGATCAATTTGGCAGCTGAGTAAAACAAGTCACAGCAAGCTTGATTCTGACCTCTTGTGATTCTTTTCAGTCTCTATACAATGCTCATATACAGAAATGGGACAGCAATGATTAGCTCATAACGGGCTGGATCCAGAATTGCATGAGTGGAAGTCTATTCGTGCAATAGGGCTTCCGCCCTGCAGCTCTGAGTCCCCAGACAACCTTTCCTAATGGAGATTCAGAAGAAACTAGGGGGAGGGGCACAGAAGGACACCATGGGGGGGGGGAGTCCTTCTGCATGACTTCCACTCACGGTCTATGGGTCCAACCCAAGTATTTTACTTTCATTTGTTATGCCAAGCAGCTTTTCTCAAATAGTTAACTGCTGATAGTAAGTTGGAAAGAACTCAATGACACGAGTACTGAACACTAGCTTATCCACATACTAGTATATCTTTCTTCATCACTCCTATTAATACTTTTTTTTGAGCAGTACATAATCTGCTTTGGAAGTGTGCAATCAAGTTACATCAGCAGGGACACAGTCAAGGTCATGCAAGTCACACGTAGGAAAGGGTTACAGGTTCATGTCTCGCTGTCAGTAAATGCTAAAAGCAAATGAAAGTTAAACTTTGATGGCACATTTTCTCCGCTGTAGTTTGATAACCTCTTTCTGCCCCTGCCATAAGCCAGCTGCCCTTCCACAAAACAACAGCAGCGGCAGAAAACAACAACAACAACAACACAGGCTGCCCTTCTCTACCAAATGATTCTCCCTGTGGACAGTCACTAGTTGCATGGGATCATAGGATTTGTAGCTTTCTCTGCCTCCTGATCTCATTAGTAGGAAATTCTGACATTTCCAGCTGATGTCTGGCCCTGCAAGGTTCTCCTATATACAGTCCTTTTTTTTCTAAAAAAATGTTTAGGGGTACTCTCATTTTCCTACTCATATTGAAATACTGCCCCTCAATGAGGCCAAACTTAGATTCACAAAATATTTAGGGGTATGCATACCCCTGCGTACCCCCCAGAAAAAAGCATTGCCTATATGTAGTAAGCCCTGCCCATGATTCTTTAGCCCCCTCCTTGTTCATAAAGGTAAGGTATAATTAGTTGTGGGGACATCCTTCACCCATTTGCATTTGTTGAGTGTCCCTGTTAAATGCTAGTAGGAAAAGTGTTTTTAGAGATTTCCTGGCAGAGAAAGCAAGGTCTGCACATCACTAATAGGACTCTCTATCTTAGGAGTCATTGGAGTAGTCCCAATTACTTCTCCTCAATTGTGACGTAGGAGGAATCAGTTTTAAATGGATTTACGTATGTGTAACTACAGCTGAATTCAAATGTGGGGAATATTACATTTGTTTTCCTGATTATTGTGCTAGTGCTTTAGTTCCACATTCTTACGGGTGATTCACACTTTGGTGCTTGTTGTGTTATAGAACTGTGGCTTTATTATTGACATACCAGCACATTGTGCTAAATTTCGTTCACTTCAAGGGAGCATGGTGTGACACAACAACAAATGCCACTGGATAGTATCGCAACTCCCCCACCCATTCTATTGAATCCTCTCCCTAAAAATAGAAAATGGGAGGTCGTTTTAATTCATTTTTTTGTAAACACCACTAGGATTCTAAAACTTCACTTACATTTAACAAAACTGGCCTCAAAACAAGGTAATAGTTAAAGCAATTGTTATTCATAATTATAACTACAAAGCAACTCCCGGGTGTTCACAAGCTTCATACACAAACTTAAAAGGAATGCATATTTACTTCATTTTACATCTGAAAAATAGGGATCAAAAACCTATTTTGTACTTCAGCCTTAAGGACTTTATTGGTAGTTTCTTATGCTAGAGAAAAATAATTTCTGAAACATGTGCCCATTACAGACATACAATTAACAAATTCACTCTAATGCAATTCCAACAATAGCTCACATAGAAATTGTAATGTAGAACCACCATACTAAAAACTGAGCACTATTTCCCATTATTCCCTAATTTTGAGCATGCTTCATGTTTTTTGCTCACATTCTGTCTACAAATGTGAGCAAAATAATCCTTCTCTTGACACAATGAACTTAGAAGCACCTTTCTAGGTTTTGGCATTTCTTTAATATCCACAAAATTCATGCACCTTCTCTGGAAATTAGTTGGTTCATTCTACAGGGCCTGAAAACATCAAATTAAAATTATAGCAGGAGAGGTTATTTTCTTATTTAAAATGCTTGGAAAATTCTAGTTATTTTAAAATAATATCTGCACACCTGCAGCAATCAGTTGGTCCAATAAGCAGATGCTGCTGCTGGTATACTGTAGCTTCCTTGTTCTGTTCTATTAATGGGAGAACACTCCCATTAATAGAATCTTTGTATATGCATTGAGCATTCCCCCCCCCCCAAGGAATTAAATGCTGTACTGGTCCAAGTTGCATGCATTTATTTTATAGTAAAGGTGAGATTGAGGTATTTTAACCATGCTACTGATTTCACTTACAGTGATGCTCCAAAAACATATGTATTAAAACTTTAGGTGGGCAAACCATTTCACAACAAATGATTTGACACTGTATGCATAATGGAAATGCATAAACCAATAAAATATTTCCAGAAGCATTAAAGTTTAAAAATATGCAACACCTCTTCATCTACCAAACTAGATAGCCATCTATGCCCTGGTAACCTCTAGGTTATATTACTGAACTGTGTAATATGTGGGGCTGCCTTTGAATATGGTTTAGAAACTTCAGCTGCTGCAGAATTCAGTGGCCAGGTTGTTCACTGGGGGAAGATGATTTGAACATATAACGCCAATCCTGGCTTGACTGCACTGACTGCCAGTTAATTTCTGGGCCCAATTCAGAGTGCTGGTTTTGACCTATAAAGCCTTAAACAGCTCAGGACATCAATACCTCAAGGACCACCTCTCCCCATATGAACTGCCCCAGATCCTGTTATCAGCATCTGAGGCCCTTCTTTGTGTGCCTCCTCCACAGGGGATATAGAGGGGGGCAGCATGAGAATGGGCCTTTTCTGCCATGGCTCCCCATTTGTGGAATGCTCTCCCGAGGGAGGCTCGCCTGGCACCTTCTTTAGACAAAAACATTCTTCTTCTCCCAGGCATCTGGCTAATTAAACAATCTATGGCCTTTTAAACTGTTGTGGGGGTATTGTTTTTAGTTTGTAACATAATAATAATAATAATAATAATAATAATAATAATAATAATAATAATAATAATTTATACCCCACCCATCTGGCTGGACTTCCCTAGCAACTCTGGGCGGCTTCCAACAAAATATTAAAATACAGTAATGCATCAAACATTAAAAGCTTCCCTAAACAGGGCTGCCTTCAGATGTCCTCTAAAAGTCTGGTAGTTGTTGTTTTCTTTGACATTTGACTTTGTTATGTATTTTGTGTTTTTATATTTTAAACCACTCTGTGATCCTAGGATAAAGGGCGGTATAGAAATAATAATAATAATAATAATATCTGCAACAGCACAGCATACAACAGGATGTCAGGAGAATGGTAAGAATATACCACTCATTTTCAGGAAAAATAATGACAGGACAGACAGAAGGTGAAAAAGCCTTACCATCATCAAGTGAAGAAGAATTACCCATGGTAAAGGGATGTAAATGGGGAAAGCTTGAAGAAATGTGAGTGGAAAGGAAAAGAAAGGCATCACTGGAAATGTAGAAAAAGAAGAGAAAAGAAAAAAAAGGTGTGAGGAGTAAAGGGAATAGATTTCTAAAGACACACTTAACAGTTAAGACTAACAAACTTTTTTAAAAAAAGAAGGAAGTGTGAGCCACAGATAAAGCTGGAAAATATATTACATACAAATATTTAAATCAGAACAACAACAACAACAAAAAATAAAATCTATCCACCATTCACTGGTTTAGTAATCCAACCCTATTAGATATAAATACCCTAAGTCTTCAAGCCAAGAAAATTACATCAAGCATATTTATCCTCTGGGTAACCATGTTCACACAAATGATGACCAGAACTTAGCAGTCAGCAGAGAAGGTTAAGACAGAGTCACTGATGTTAGCCGGTCATGGTAAACCCAGATGGGACGACAGCTCTTCAAGATGTTAAACAAAATGCTTCCCTGTCCGAGCCAATTGCAGGATACTACAAGGATATGCTATTTCTCTTCATGATAATGTGATGTGATTTTTGTTTTCTTTTACAAAACAAACTTGCCAACAACTATTATTTCTGGTCCAAACTGTGTTCAAATTACCCTATAAAGATAGCAGCTGCCAAGGCAATTGTGAGAACATCTCTCACCTCACACACATGTTCACTTTTATTTAATCTGTCCCAAATCAATTTGTGTATATAAATCTTAAGTATTTCTGTCCTCCATCATGTTCACTAAAGGTCTAGCCCTACCCACAAATATTTTAATCGATTCACTCTTCACACAATGAATAAACCTATTAAGCATCCCTAACTATTCATTTTCTAGTATGATAACAGAACTGTGTGTTGCTTTAATTCTTTAGTTATTTAATTCTGTGCCTCAGTATATGGCTGTTTATTTTCTTAATTATGTTTATCTGTCATCAAAAGCCTTATAAAAATAAAATCTTGTAATTCAGGATTAACAATTATTTATTGAGGAATTCTGTTTTGCTGTTGCAAACAATTTGCCCCTGTGACCCTCATTTATGCCTACAAAAATAATGGAAGCTTACGCTTTGATTATAATCTCCCTAGCAAAAGGAAAATATGTGACAATAAGTATAAAGTAGTAGTTCTCAGACTATTCTAGCGTTTGTAACTGGCAGTTTAGACTTTCTAAAACTAGTAGCTGTTCTACAACTGTCAGTTGATTAATTATTACTATTTTGGTTATTAGAGTATTTTTCTAATAGTATTAGAACATAATGACAGGTAGCTTTTAACACTAACGTTTCAATCCTACAAATAATAGAAGGCTTACAAAAGCAGAAAACATTCTGCATTCTGTTGGCACTTACTGTTACCTAAAATTAGAAAGCTTACATATTATTATTTATAAAAGCACATGAAATTTCTAGGCACTGTGCAAAAACCAGCAACGAACTAATATAATAAATCTGCCAATTTAAAAATTCATGCACCTTACTTATCATTACAGACACCTTGCTTTGCTATCTCAGTCAAGTGTTTGGTTGGAAAAGCACATTCTATGAACTAAACAACCAGCTTGCTACTAGAGATTCCACACAGCACAAAAACAGACAAAAGATTGAGAGAAAGAAAAACATGTTTACTGTTTAATGGTACTTGTTTCCTAGTGAGTATGCATAGGATTGCAGCCTAATTATTTTAAAAAACTCGGTTTTAAAAGTTAGCATAGCAGTTGCAAACAAGTGCAAAACTGCCAAGTCTGGAGAGAAGGAAGATTAGCTACTGCAGTACAACATTTAATCAATATGTGCTCTATGAAGAAACCACAACATAAAAATAACAGTGCATGCTACCAATGAAATGTAGTAATGCTTACAATTTAGGATACAAAGACTGCCTCTTATAAAAACATGTCTGCTGCGGCACAGTTGTTACTGAACTGAGTGACTGAAGCAGATGACATTGAAATATTTCCATCTGAAAATGACACTGGCTTTGCTTACAGATATATGACCACAGTCAGAACACCTTGTTTTCCAGCAGTCAGAAGACTGATACCCCACCAATTCAGAACATACCTTTTGTGTTCTAATTTGTGATGGGAGAAAAACCGTAATTAATCTTTAGTTTCCTCAGAGTAGGTTGCGTAGTTAAATCTCAAGAGTGTCAGGTAATCTGATCAAATTCTTAACTACAACAGACATCTACAACTCATTTTACAAACAGCAGCAACCATTTCAGGTAATTTTTTAAAATTAGCTTTCCAAAACCTTCACAACAAAATGATCTGCAATCACACAAAAGGTTCCAAGCACTGAAAATATTTTGCACCCAATTTCTTCTAAATTTTTGGATATGTATTTCTTAAAAATAACATGGTACATTTACTGGAAATTTAAATAATACTGTATGATAAAATTAATACTGAAAGGTAATGTATATTTAGGAGGTAAGTCCAGGATAAAAAGCACCTCAACTTACCGATGTCATTGCTCCTTTCTGTGGAATCCTTTTCTAAGGTGCTGGACGATGTACAGCTCGCTAGATCTACTTTTGGGATATCATTCCTGCAGTCAAAAACGAGAGATTTTTTTACTGGGACTGCCTGTTAACAGTAATTTCTTGTATCTTGCAAACTGAGGGAAAGAAGCATTCCTCACGCGCAGCTCCTGGGTCACAGTGAGCTGTCCGAGGGAGCCATCGCTTGTAAACCGACATGCTGCTAGGATTAACCTTATCTTGTTTCTCTTTAACACCTGTCAAAAGGGCCTATTTTAGACACACTAGTGTCCTAAACAATTTCTCAAATGTTAACTGCATCTTGAGATGAAGAAAATCTGAAAGGATACCCTCTGATCAGCAATTTTAAAAATAACAATTTGTGTATGAAAACCCTAAGTGATATGAAGAAAGGCAGAATGTGTCGCAGACCCATTAAGTGATAAAGTTATGAAGAGTCAAGCTGTGATAATGGGGTTAAGCCCCCCACCCCTGCCAATTCAAGCGTTGGCTGCAGCTCCTTCAGTAGGATTGGCTCCCTCACTGAGACGCTTAATAACTAATGGCTTTCCGGTGACAGTTTCAGAGTGGGTGTTTTGTGACTTTGCATGGCAGATGAGTACCAAAAGTGGACTTGTGAAGGGCTGCTGAAAACTGGAGCTTTTCATCGTTCAAAAAAAATAATTATTTTGCACTACAGTGGTACCTTGGATTACAGACGCTTCAGGTTACACGATTTCGGGTTGCGCACCACGACGAACCTGGAAGTACCGGAACGGTACTTTGCACACGCACAGAAATCACACTTTGTGCATGCACAGAAGCACCGAATCGCAACCCATGCGTGCGCAGACACGGCGCTGTGGGTTGTGAACGTGCCTCCTGCATGGATCATGTTCGCAACCCGAGGTTCCACTGTATTTAATAAATAGTAGAAGTTACTAAGAAGTCTAATCTATGGTTTTGCTTGATGATGGAAAGCCATTGTCATCAAACAATTTAATTTACTTATTTACAAATTTATAAATCAGCACTTTCATTTAAAAAAATACAGTAGGGGGAAGTACAACATATAAGGATTAAATCAACAAGAGATCCATTAAAGATCATTAAAAACACCAATGACTGCTCCCCACATCAAATGGGGGCGCCTTTTGCGTGGTCACATGCAGCCCCCAGGATCCCATGCAGCTCCTGGTGGTATGGGCTGGTTTCACCCTCCCCAGGCTGGATACCTGGAGGTCTCCACCTACCTCAGCCAATCGCCCAATCCTGCCTGGGGAGGCGTTGCCAGGGGATTGGCCAGGTAGGGGGAGGGACCGTCCTGCCCACACAACAAAGGGTGGATCCTCAGCTGGGGACTGGGAAGGATAAATGCCCAATGCTTGAGCCAAGGTCTCCCTACATCTAAAACTTAATAAAGTTGTGGCCAATTTTAATCCTATAGCATGTTGTCTTGAGTCATTATTCCACTCGGGAGTCGCCTGGGATTGGGGGGACTCCACCTGTCCACTCAATAAATATTAATAAATGCCGATTGGTTAAAAGAAAACATGTTGTAAAACAATAGCTTTTTTCAAATTACATTTGAAGGAAGGGAAGGATGGTTCCTGCTGAAACTCTACTGGTAAGAAGCTCCACAGGGCACGACCTGCCATACTATTGTTCAGTCACTAACCAAACCTCAGGGTCATAGGGCAGAGGTGAATTTAGGAAAGCATGACTGGTTCAGTCGCACTGGGCATGGTGCATGGAAGGTGAGAGCTGCTCTGTATGTGTGTTCTGGATTTTGGTGTTGCACAGGGAGCTGCTGAAATTTGAGACCCCAAGGTCCACCACTGCATGGGGTACCACTAGAGGGCCCCATCAGAGAATTTCTGCAATCAAGATGGAAGATAAGGAATCAGCCAGTCCTTTATAAAATCAAATGAAATTACTACATTATGCTGTAGGTGGCAAATGCAATACCTAACTGGAGGCCAACCACTCATGTTTTTTTAAAACAGATTTTAAAATTGTAATATAAATCAAAATAATTTATTGTGTCCATTTTGCACTTCAAAGTACACATTATGTGTACTTCAAAGAGACTTAACGAGGTGCAAGTATCTACAAGATTTCATCATAAATATGTTTTATCATCCACTGATTTCTTTTAAAGAACTGATCCATCAAATACCTTGTATGGGTCAGAGGCACAATTGGTCTTTCTGGTCTTCTTGGAGGCAATGTACCAGGTCTGTTCAAAGAGTTTGTTTTGGGTGGTCGAGGTTTCTTCGGTGGTATAGCAGGAACAGAAGGCTTCTGTAAATCTAACAGCTTTTGCTCTCTCTCTGGTCTTTCTTTAAATCAATTTCCCCCCAAAAGAATGAAGACATTTTAAAGCAAAACTCTCTCACTTATGGAAGTTACAGCTATGGGCAAAACCCAATAGAAAAAATATCTTACATCATCTTTATTGTAACGCTAATAAAGCACATACTTTTATTTACTGTAAAGTAATGAAGTGTAGAAAATTTCTCAAACCTAAACAAATTGTTTTTCTATGACACTGAAAACAAATAAATACAAATTACTGCAAACATGCTGCAAACATGTGTTCCACCAATGGGTGGAATTCAGTGTCACATTATTACAAAAGTTCAGTCTGCACAAGGATTCAGATGGAACAATTTGCTCCCTCCACAGTGTGCAGCTCTGGAGTTTCTCCCAATCCCTCCCCAGAGCCAATTTTGGGGGAAGAGGAGGGAAACCCCATTGTGCAAATGAAAGTCCTTAGAAGAGTCTTGCAAATCATCAGGGAAAGGTCACTCTTTCAGGAAGAGAAGGAAAAGGCAAGTCCAGCCAGAGAGGGAGCTCTGTGGAACTGTCCTTTGATTGTGCTGCTGCTGCTGTTCCCACTTGCTTGTGGGAGAATGTTTGAGGAGAGCTGGTGGGATGGTAATTCTTCTAGGCCTCAGACTGACAGAATATCATATTGTGTTCCTCCCAGCTGGGGGTTGCTGGGAGAACTGATTTAAGCAGGGGAGAATACCAGTCTCCAAGGACCACAGACAGCATTTACTAAAATATAAGATGGACTTTTCACTCAGAAGTAATGCTTCTTACCTTTCTCTTCTGTTCGATGAGGAAGACATTCTGGTCTTTCAGGAGGTACCTTTTTGATTTCATGTTTTCTGTCTGTCGTAGCTATAAAAAAATTCAATGTAACTGTTTAGAAAGGAAATCAAGAATTTGGAAATATGCATTTACAGTGGTACCCCGCAAGACGAATGCCTCGCAAGACGGAAAACCCGCAAGACGAAAGGGTTTTCTGTTTTGGAGGCGCTTCGCAAGACGAATTTCCCTATGGGCTTGCATCGCAAGACGAAAGCCCATAGGGAAATGCTGGCGGTCGGGAGCAAAGACTTTCGCCCACAGCCGGCCTTCAGAAGAGGACCTCTTCTGAAGGCCGACGGGGGGCAAAAGTCTTTGCTCCCCCCCGCCTGCCTTCCCCCCCGCCTGCCCCGGGCGATCTTAAAATGCTGGGGGCGGGAGCGAAGCGTTCGCTGCCGACCCCCAGCATTTTAAAATCTCCCCGTGTCCCGGGAAGGTTTTAAAATGCTGGGGGTCGGGAGCGAAGCGCTGCCGACCCCCAGCATTTTAAAATCTCCCCGTGTCCCGGGGAGGTTTTAAAATGCTGGGGGTCGGGAGCGAAGCGCTGCCGACCCCCAGCATTTTAAAATCTCCCCGTGTCCCGGGAAGGTTTTAAAATGCTTCGCTCCCGACCCCCAGCATTTTAAAATCTTCCCGGGACACGGGGAGATTTTAAAATGCTGGGGGTCGGCAGCGCTTCGCTCCCGACCCCCAGCATTTTAAAACGCTGTTCCGAAGGGGGGGGGCGGGAACACCTGCCCCAGCCGCCCAACTTCGGAACGCTGTTCCGAAGCGGGGAGGGGGGGGCGGGAAGACCTGCCCCAGCCGCCCCACTTCGGAACGCTGTTCCGAAGCGGGGAGGGGGGGCGGGAAGACCTGCCCCAGCCGCCCCACTTCGGAACGCTGTTCCGAAGCGGGGAGGGGGGGCGGGGACACCTGCCCCAGCCGCCCCTCTTCGGAACGCTGTTCCGAAGCGGGGAGGGGGGGCGGGAAGACCTGCCCCAGCCGCCCCACTTCGGAACGCTGTTCCGAAGCGGGGAGGGGGGGGCGGGGACACCTGCCCCAGCCGCCCCACTTCGGAACGCTGTTCCGAAGCGGGGAGGGGGGGCGGGGACACCTGCCCCAGCCGCCCCACTTCGGAACGCTGTTCCGAAGCGGGGCGGGGGGCGGGAACACCTTCTGAAGGCGGGCAGGGGGCGAAAGTCTTTGTCCCCCCTGCCTGCCTTCCCAGGGGCTTTTAAATCGCCCCGGACAGCGGAGAAGTCCTCCGCTGTCCGGGGCGATTTTAAAATGCCGCCCGCCAGCATTTTAAGATCGCCCCGGACAGCGGAGAAGTCCTCCGCTGTCCCAGGGTTTTTTAAAATGCTGGGGGTGGGAAGAAAAGCCCTTGTTCCCCCCCCCAGCCTTCAGAAGAGGTCCGGGGACAGACTGTCCCCGGACCTGGTCTGAAGGCGGTTTCCCTAGGAACGCATTAATTGATTTTCAATGCATTCCTATGGGAAACCGTGCATCGCAAGACGAAAAAACCGCAAGACGAAGAGACTTGCGGAACGAATTAATTTCGTCTTGCGAGGCACCACTGTATTTATTTAGGTTCGCTAAGGCAATATGCTTCATGACAAATGAATATGGGGTTTGTTTCCAAATATGTGTTTGCGCTCTCTCTCTCTCTCTCTCTCTCTCTCTCACACACACACACACACACACACACACACAGAGAGAGAGAGAGAGAGAGAGAGAGAGAGAGAGAATTTATACTTAGGACTCTTTCACATGGGAGTTCCCCTTGTAAGCATCTGAAGGTTTGGTCAGTGCCTTGCCAACCATATGCATGCTGCATTGACTCCCATGATGGAAGAAAAGCAGGCTGTAAATGTGACAAAGGAATGAATGAACAAATAAACAAAGGTGGAAGAAAGAGAGCTGTGTGTAGGAAAAAACATGCATGGAGGTATGCAGTCAGCCACACAGTTGTGGTATGTAGTCTGCCACAGTTGCCTCTCCAAAGGCAATTATTACTTGCTTGGGCAAATAGGACAACATGTAAGATGTCCCCCCACCACCACCACCTTTAGTACATAAAACTGTGGTCAGTCACCTTCACTGCCTGCCAGTCTGCCAGTTTCGGAAATATTAAAAATTGAGAGGATGCATCTCAAAAACAAATGGCTTTTACTTCAATTGTGAAAACAATATGGAAGATAATCATTGTTAGTGCTTTTCTTTAACAACCACTAGATGGCAAATGCATGTTACTGCTATAGAATGGTTTTGGGAAGATTGTCTGATAATTACTCCGTCATAAAATTAAAGGTCTTCTATGTCTTTTTCAAAGCGGTAATGAACTAATAACACTTTAAAATGAATTATTATGAATTGATACATAAACACCATATTAATAAGTATACCAGTCTTCGCTGCCTTCTTTAATTTGGTACAATGTTACCAATTCTTCACCAAATGGGACTGGTACTTGGCTAGGCTTTCTTATCCCAAGAATGATCACTGACATGAGCAACCCTGGGATTTCAGAAGCAGTCTGCTGCTGCCAGACAGTACCTGCAATTTAACAATTTTTAAATGGCATGGTGCATAAAGTGATACTGAGAGCTTCCATTAAGAGACAGAAAAGTGGATGTACTGTCTGTAAGGGATATTTACTGATGCTTATTATAAAGCAACAGTGCATTACCTGATCCTTGTTTGAAGGCAGGAGCTGATGGAGGTGGTGGTTTCTTAGGTCTCTAAAATAAAAAAGAAATGATAACAAGGTTGCTAAAAAGAATTTGAACCAGACAGAAGATAAAATCATTCTAATAACTAAAAAAAATAATTTTTTTTTGTAAAGTCTTTCAGTAACACAGCAGATAAATGCAATTTATGAACATAGTGAGAGAGGAGACAGCTATCATAATTTAATAAAGACTAGCTGCTACTCTATGGAAATTATATGTGCCTATTTGCCGTTATGCCCATATTTGCTTAGTGTTCAAAGACTTTGTTAAGCAGGAAGTTACTTCTCTGCAGTTATACTTTGTTTCCTGAAACCAAAGTAGATTAATTACAGGAAAGTACTGAAAAAACAAAAAGCCTTGAGGCACCTTAAAGTCGAACCATTAACCATAGCATTTGTTGAATGGAGATCACTTCTTCAGATATATATATCTATATTTGGAAAATATATCTACCACCGTAAAGAGGACTTTTGTGATTGAAACACGTATGACACTGTGTTGCATTAGTATTCAGTGTTAATGTTTTAGGGTGAAATTTTGGATCAAATATGAACATCAAATTTTAAGTTATAATGCTCTGCAGTATATTTGTACACTAAGTTTTCTGTAGCTACATGAGGGTAGATTTAATGGGTTTTATATATCTGTCGTAAGCTTTACTAAAATTTTTGATCACCCATTAACATGGGGAATGTAGAGAACACACTTCATTCACAGAAAGTCCAAGGTTCAATCCCTGATTCCTCCATATTGGGCTGGAGAGCCACTGCCAGTCAGTGACCTAATTGGCCCAATATTCTCATTCAGTTTAAGACTCTTCTGAAGGAACAAGAAATCTAGCAAATTAAAGCACAATCACCAGCCATTTATTCACATGAATAACTGGATGGAGTCCAGTGCTGTGCAGTGCATGTGCAACAGGACTTCCCCTTCCTCTTTTCCTCAGTGTTCCCCCCAAATCTGGTCTGGAGAGTTCTACCCTCTGGAGCACATTTGGGGGGCATGCTGGGGTCTGCAGCAGGGAGGAGAGGAAGAAGTCATGTTATGCTAGTGGAGTCTGTTCTGCTCAAGCACAGACACTGGATGCAACAATGCCCGATTCTGTGCAAATAGAATACGGGCTTTTAGAGCAATCTTGCTGAAGCTAGTTTTTCAATTCAGCTTTTTACACCGCAAGTTGAAAAAGCTACACAATGCAATTTCAAGCTACACAAACATGCTGCCGTCCATAAACAAACATTTATCCCAAAAAAACATTTTAGGTGGTTTCAGCTTTTCAATATTTTATTATAGCTAACGTGTTCCAAACAAAAGACACAGGTTCATAAAATTCTCAGTGATAAAGGGCAAACAGATCCTACCTCTTTTTCAAAGTCAGAAATAAGTAATTTAACAAAGTTATCAGGAAATACTCCTCTTCTGCCATTGAGTTCTCCTTCCCACCAGCCAGTATCAATACATTCCTAAGGTACATAAAGAAGAAATTGATTGCATACATTGAAAAACATGTCTTTTGACAAGGCAGGATTATTTTCCCCTGTGAATTGAGAGTATAAAGTGGGATATATGCAGAACATGTTTTATGCGGCCATGGTGTGTATATTGCTAAGTTTTCATCAGTAACTTGTGGTGTTGGTTGTTTAAATGTGCTTACTAGTCATAGACACATTGCTAGTTCCCTGGTCAATACATTATGAAAAAGGAGAAAGTAGCAACAGATAGCAAGTTATGAGAATGTCACGTATTTGTGGCCATTAAATATTAAAACATTAAAGTAATTAGTACCAATACCACCCACCCCAAACACACCTGCTGTTTATCTGAATTCTATAGGAGTGCACATTTTTTGGCAGCACCTTAGAGAGTCAGTTTTTGATATGGTGGGGAATAAAAACTAGAGGGTGCACAAGTGAAGAAAAGGAACACTTCTATGACAGGTGTACAGATCTGTCTGTCTTTCCCTTCTCTTCTGCCTCCTTTCATGTGAAGCTAGGCAGAAAAGATGGCAGAGTTGGAAGCGTATCATGTAGAGGAGGAGAAGCAAGACATCATTCTACATCTACATTCTACATTGCTACCTTCACATTATAAAACACAAGAGTCTTTATGCTTAAATGCTGACTCCTTATGTAACACAATAACACAATAAGCATTTCTAAAAACAAGGTGGTGAGTGTATACATGTTTATGTCTGTATACACACACACATATAGATACATACTTATACCCCACTTTATGCCCCCATCATGGCACCAAGCAGTAGAAGTGGCAGTATTAACGACATACTAAAGCCTAGCAGCAGACTTCATTCACATAGGCTGTCATGGGCTAGGCTGGGCTGCCGCCACCATTAAAACCACTGCTAGTGACCCCAGGGTCTAACTGGGTTAAGTCTTTGCTACCACCACAGCTCACATATATCATGCTTTTGTGACTGTGCTGCATGTGTGGGCACTAAAACAGCTGCATACTATGCAGGGAGATGAGAGAGAGGTACCAGAAGACTCCAGCTGTAGTGACTGCATGCCCTTGAGTCAGATTGGAGGTATGCACAAGCTACAGGAAACCTAGAAAAGGGGAAACCAGCTTCTCCCTTTGCTGACCAGGAAAGAAATAGGAGGTGTGAGGTGCTCTGGAAAGGGAAGGAAATGGGACTAGTACACCAGCAGGAAGCTTATTCCCCCACTCCTTCCTCTAGACCAGCCTTTCTCAACCTGTGGGTCCCCAGATGTTGTTGAACTACAACTCCCATCACACCTAGCTAGCAAGGCCAGAGCTCAGGGATGATGGGAGTTGTAGTCCAACAACATCTGAGGACCCACAGGTTGAAAACCGCTGTTCTAAATTCAGTTTTAACCCCCCTGAGCTGCCTGCATCATATCTAGGGGACTGGGAGGGGACTGTCAGGCAGTCATGAGAACCAAGATTTGTATACACTTGCCAGTTTGAGCATATGCTCTTTATAAGTCGTTCTAATGAATTTCCTCAAGTGCCATAGAATATGCAGCGTCATTGATTTCTGAATGTTCCTGTTACATTCAGACCCTTGCATGAAAATATGTACACGTGAAACTTACACATATGCAAAAAGTAATGGCAAAAAAGAGAGAATTGTTTAAGCATAGCATATGCAACTGCCTACAGCAGAATGACACTTTCTTCTGCATCACCACCATGATCATTATTTATAAAGATGCAGCCATCTGTCTGGCACTGTGCAAAGAAATAAAAACAGTTTGCTATCCCAATGTGGCTCACGATCTGCATAAGATGAGAAACAGGTGGACAAAGGATTTAACTACAAAAGGAAGAATCTTCAGCTTATATATTAAAAGTTACCTTTGTTTTCATTTTAGAAACACAGTGTACTGGAAGGAATTATATAATGCAACATTCATTCAATGCAATATTTGCCCCATGTCAGATATAGATCCAATGGGCATTGGATATACTGCAACTGTCATTAAAGTCTGAGAGAGGGAGGGAGGGAGGGAGGGAGGAGAGAGAGCAGTTTGCAGGATTGTGTGAACCCCTATTGCCTTTTGTGGAAAGTTTGTTGATTGTGACATTCTAAGGGTCAGAGCCTGGCAGAAACGCACCCTACCCTTAAGAACATATGTAGCTGCCTTATATTCAAGAGCACTGGTCTGTCCAGCCTAGTGTGGACTTTTCTCAACTGGCAGCAGCACTCACAGCTACCAAATTTCCTTTTAACTAGAGTTCATTGTGGGACGTCTCTACATGTAGCACGAGCTCTACCATTAAACTATGGTGCTCCATAACTCTTGCATCCCTTAAAGCTTTCACATTTTCCCTTACATGCAGCAAATCTATCTAGAACAAGAATATAAATCCGGTTCTTTCCCCCCACAAAAATCTGCGGCTGTCTGAAAGAGCAGTGGGGGTTGCGAGAACCACCTTCTTGGCAACTTTTGCAGTGTAAATCCCCCCCCCTTTGTAATCATTTTGATATGATAATTCAAAACCTCAGCTACAAAAGGCAACATGACCCACAGAGACCTAGTGGGTGGAATGCTACAGTATTAGAAACTGAGAGGCAGAAGCAGGTTTCATGAACAGAAAAGACAAACAGCTACATAACGTGTTTGCACATACTGCATATCAATATGACTAAGGTGCCCTTTAGACTTTATCTAAGCTGTGTAGGAGTAGCTTATCCGTGGGGGAATCCCACACAACCGGGAGAATGATCTGAGGTGGCCAAATGTGTTGCTTTTTTCCACACACCCATTCCACCCACAAATCAATGGCTTCTGCAGGCCCAGGCCCAGGCATGTGTAATCAACTCAAAAGATAAGTAGCTCTCACACAGCTGGGAGAATCTTTAAAGGGAGCCTCAACTCAAACGTATCATCAAGGATCTACAGTCCATCTTGGACAACAACACTTCCTTCTCACAGGCCTTGGGTGGAAGCACTATACCTGCTTACATATAGCCTCCCTTCAAGCTAAAACAGCTACTCACCAGCAACAACAGGCCACACAAGAGAGATACAGACACAAGGGCTAGACCCAGATTCCAGTTCTTCTGGCCACGTGTCTATTCCTGCAGTACTATTACAGGATGTAATAATATCATCCACAACATCAGAGGTTCAACTTCAAATGTAATATATACCATCATTTGCCAACAATGCCCTTCTGCCATTATATGTAAAGGGGGAAAACAGACTAGCCTCTCCATAAATAATTACTGTAATGGACCCAATTTTGATATAAGAAAGAACAGCACAGAGTATCCAAAAACCAACAAAGGAACAGTTAAACTTCTCAGGACACTCTGTAGTTGACCATAAGGCAGTCATAGCATAACCAAGAAACTTCAAAAAGAGACTGCAGCATAAAAATCCTGCATTCATCAAGAAATTCACTGCTATCACTTGTGGTCTGAATTGGCACAGTGGATTGTTGTCAAATTACCATGTGTTAACCGCCAGGATGTTTATGTTATTGACAAGGGTTACAGTTCTGTTTACAATTCTTTCCAACCCACCCTATATAATAAAAATGTAGGGATGCCATCATGCTGCAGTTCATGTGGCTACTGACAGGTGGCAAGACAAGGTACAGCATGATGACAAACTGGGCTCTCAAAGCAGCTGGGCATCTGCAGCAGCATCAGAGACTGAGGAGGAGGGAGATGCCGGTGAGCAGGCGGGTGGCCCAGGTCAGCGAGTAAGCATATGGGTAGGTATTGCTGGCCACAGGTAGGTGTCCTAGGCCAACAGGCAGGCAGTCATCCCAGGTGTGTGGGTGTCCAACTGAGACAAGTGAGCAAGAGGGAAGCCCAGGAAAGTTACAGATATCTGGGGAGATAAAAGAGGGAAGCGGGGGGGGGGGAGTGATAGTTTTGACAATCTCTGGGGGCAGGTTGTGATGAAGGGACTGGTGAGTGAAGTGAGCAGGAGCACAGCCCCTAGTATGTACAGTATGTCTGTGTGCGTGTGTACACACACCCTTCCAATGCAGGACAGCACTTCATGTACTTAATGAAGCTGACTGAAAGCTTGTCATAATATATTTGTCACTTTTTAAGGCTGCCACAAGTCTCTTGTTTTGTTGCCTGAGACTTGCATGGCTACCCATCTGGAAACTAAAGCACTTTTCCTCATTGCAAAAGGCTCTCATAGTTCATATTATGAACAGATTGCTGTCATTCTTTTGTGCAACGTGACAGATCTATTAGAAGCCTAACATTAAATGGATAGTCATTAATTTACAGTAGTATGATAACCTATTATTACAACAGAGCTTTTGCACTAAAGAAGAAAGGAAGAGGGTGAAAAAGTAACCTTCCTCCACAAGTTAAACTCTGTTTATTTTAGCTATTCTATTTTATCAATAATTAATATATATTATATCAATGTGTGTCTGTTTTAATAAATAAGTGCTTTAGGAAAACTGCAAGTAGTTTTAAACCACATTGTTAGATAAGAATTTATTTAATTTTCTTGCTATGGATTAATGTCAGATTTATGTTGGCTACTGTATTATGTATGTACGTACGTACGTATGTATGTATGTATGTATGTATGTATGCATTACCCCCTCTTCACTCTAATCAGTGGGTTACAATTAAAATACAAATCCATAATATACTACAACCACTGAGAAAACAAAGCAGCCCTGAATAGGGAAGTTTTTAATTTTTTATGTTTTACTGTGCTTAATGTTTCAATTTGTTGAAAGCCGCCCAGAGTGGCTGGGGCAACTCAGTCAGATAAGTGGAATACTACTACTACTACTACTACTACTACTACTACTACTACTAATGTAAGGGTGGTACATTTTGCTTATACCACCTGCTCTTGTTCTTTCTCCCCCCACCCCCATAAAAAACCAATGGTTGAGGCTGATGCAGGCAATGGACCAGATCCTGTGGCAACTTCAAATAATGCCTTACAAGACTACCTATGCCCCAAAACACTCCAGTAAATGATGGAAATAGTGCCTGTGATAGATCAATACCCAGAGAGTTCAATGCTGTGGCCATGCCTCCCACCATCAGCGCTCTTTACTGACGGAGGGGAGGCACCTTTGACTTGTTTTAACACCCTCCAGGCAACAGATCTAGGGTTATGGTTGCTCTGTAAAAGAGATTAAGGAAGCCTGGAAGATAGCTGACAGAACACTGAGATTTACTGAGAAGTAAATCTTGCTGACTTCAGTGTGGCTTACTCCCAGGAAAATGTACGTAGGACTGCAGCTTGAAATTAATTATTTTACAATTATATTTGGTGAGACTAAACAGAGAAAACAGATATAAAATTAAAATAAAATAACAGATGGGCGGTTGTAACTTACAACTTAAAAATTATTAGCTTATTTTAAACAATTCCTGATTTATTCCATTATATCCTCAGTACTGAATAAACAAATATTTTTCCCCAATAAATAAATGTGCATCTGTGTCCTGAAGGGAAGTGGTTGATTTGTGGAAATATACAATACAACAGCAATCTTAGTTTAATAATCATGATCCATCACAAGATTAATGCCAGGAGTGTGAGAGTGTGCGTATAATGTAAAATTTGAGCAGCCAATCTACCTACTTACCTGCCTTGCTTCTCTTATAATATGAAAATGAAGGATGTAATAGTTTACTGTCTCATAAATGCCAGAGTCTCTGACTCTGTGCATGAACCATGTAACACAGCCACTTAACTGGAAAGAAAAGCGCAGTGTGTACTTTGATAGAGCTCTCATTTCACATTTGTCTCTTAGGACACTTCTCCGACATGTGTTTAAATTTTTGGATTTAATGGCTAAACTTCAGTTTTGTTTAGTTATTTGTTTTTTCTCTCTCCGATTAGATTAATTACAGTGCTTTCACTGTTAACAAATAATTTTATCTTGTCTTCAGTTCTCATTTCTAGATACTGCTGTGTTGAAAAAAAGAAAAATCAACAGAATATAAGGAAATAAATGTTGCAAAGACTAAAACTCAATGCATTTTCTTTTGTTATCTCTCTCTCTCACACACATGGAATGTCAGTGAGTCAAATAATTATAACCTATCATTTAATTTGATTAAATTCATATGTTAGCATATTTGAAAATCTTGATATGCATGTTACTTTATAGAAGGAACTGCAAAATAACTTACAGTTTAAAAACAATCACTTTTTGTTAGATGGAAAGGTCATCTTTAATATTTGGTTTTTCATTCCACATTATACGATAAAGCCAAGAACCAAAACAAATGAAGCGTGTCCAGGGAAAATGAGCTACAACTGATCAATTGAAATGTCAGCTGATTTAACTAGTTAAAAATTGTCGTGTTCTTTGGCCCTCCCAATGTTGTCAGATTACAACTGTCATCTTCCCTGACCACTGGCTATGCTTGCTAGAGCTGATGGAAGTTGTAGTCCAACAACATCTGAAGTGCCACAGGTCTGCCAACTCAACCTATATTCCATATTAAATATGGTGAGCCAGTAGGAATGCAAACAAGGGTTCTGCTTCCATATTCAACATGACTGAAGGCAGAGGCAACCCATTTGAGGTTAGTTTCTGGTGGATCCTTGAATCCACTAGCACAGTTTTTACTGACTGAAGAACAAAGGAGCAGGGAGGTGAGGAAACCTGAATGAGAGATATATTACCATGGCATTGGATCCCAGTTATATGGAAGTGACAACCATGTCTCAGAACTTCATTATCATGTTTCTGATACAAATGTGCTGCACTGCATGTTGAAATAGATAATAGATTTCCTTTCAATTTAGCCACCTTATTTCCTGTCATGCAACAGCTCAGTAGCCTCTAAACAAGTTTCTGAAAGATTTCATTTCATTTGATCTTATCTGATGCTCACTGACCTAGTTTTCAGTCTCTTGGAAAAAAGAAAGACATAGTTACATGTTTTCTATGTGTGCTCAGAAAATACTCAAAAATAGCAACTCTTGCACATAAAGTGTCAACATTGTGCTTATTAATGAGGAGAGAAAAATTCTCATATTGATTTACAGAAACTATTCTTTAAATACTTATTCCCCTGAATAACTTGCATGCCTAAATGCTTCAAAATCCAACTCCACCAATCATGAGTTAAATTATTTGGAAAGGTTTTCCTTTATTTTCTTGATTCAAAACATCAGCAGAAGCCATTTCTAGTTCTAAGAGCAGGCACTTATTTCCACACAACTTGCACATGATATAGAAGACTATACCGGAATAACAGGCTTGAAGAGTGTCAAATGGACACTGGTGATTTCAAAGCAATATTTGGAACTGTTTCATTCTATTGCAATAAAGGATTACACAATCCCTCTCGGCTATTCCTCCACCCTCAGAAGTGCAGCAGGGGGTGGTAGCCTCGGAGAAGGTATTTTCTGTCCCACCCCCTGAATTATGGAACTCCTTCCCATAGAAGTGTGTATGGCACCTTCATTATACAGCTTTTGGCGAATGCTGAAGACGCACCCCTAAATTTTGACACTTGAGGACACACCTTATTTCTGTAATTTTGTTTAAAAGTTGTTTAAAATGTTGTGTTTTAATTGTTGTAACCTGCCCTGGGACCTTGGGGTGAAGGGCAGGTAATAAATTTTAATAATAATGAAAACAATAATTTAAAAAATCAAAGCATACCTATTTCTGTGTGTTTGTGAGTTGGCATGTATCAGTGATGGGAGAATTTGTGGTAGGGCTGTAGCAAATCCCATTTCACTGATTTGCTCAATTGGAAAGGTGAGTTTACATAGAACTTCTGCTCCCTGTAACAGCAATTTCAGGAGGAGAGGGATGCATATCATGGCAGCAGCTATTGCTTCCTATCCATTTTCCTTCTCTCTCAACAGTTTAGAAGTCACCAGAGCTCTTGGCTTCCATGCTTCTCTTCCCAGATCCCCCTGGGATTGATGCTAGCATAGCCACACTCCTATTGTCAAGTTTCCTTCCTAGAGTGCCTTGGGGGTTATGTTAGCAGGGACATGCTAGTGTCAACACATTTCTGGGACACGGGGGAGAGGAAGCTTGGCAGTCAGAGCTCAGCTACTGAAGCTGCCATCAGAGCAGGCAGCTTTTAAATGAAAATCAAGTGAGAATAATATGATCACTATTGTGGTACATGCCTCCTCCCTCTGAAAACTGTTGGGGTGTGTGTGTCAGAACTGTGATCAATAATAATTTTCTATACACTAATCAGTGTTCAAAATGCCCATTGTTGTAGGCGTGTTTTGCGAGAGGGAATTTCATTACCGTGAGCAGTTTCTGAGCTCTGGGTGCAGTACTGCGCCTAAGATTTCAGATTAAAACTGCAGAGTGGAAGGAAAAGAGGACCAGAAAACCAGAAGGAAAACTGAGAGACCTTTTCAAAGACACAATGTTTTACCTGTGACACATAATGCTTCTGAAGAATAACCAACCTAAAAACTTTGCCTTATGGTCACACACAAGCACTCAACTCGATTATCAAGTGTCAACTGCATTTTCATATGAAACACATGACTTAAAAAACAACAACAAAACACCCAGAAAAATTACAATTACCTTATTGACAAGGGTGACAATATCGCCTTCTTTGATTGTCAGTTCATCTTCATTCTGTGCTTCGTATGAAAATAAAACTTTGCAATATTCCTTTACTGAAAGAAAAACAACAACAGTGTATTTCAATATACTGTCCTACCAAAACGCCCATGTAATTTTGAAACAAACGTATTTCCCAACGTTTTTTCTAGGCAGCTGGTTTTAAAAATGTATGAAGCACTTTAGCAGATAGAGAAAAATAATGATTATTTCTGTAGAAACAGTCATTTGATAAAATTATTGTAGCCAGAACCATTCCATTAAAATACTTTAATTGGAAAGGCTGTGCTCATTTCTCATTCACACTAAGGCTGGGTGCAGCCACTTCCCACAGGGAATAACAGAGCCTTGCTATGCACATAGTCAAGTGGGAGGTCACCATTAACATTTTTAAATTAATAGTTTTTACTACACAAATACATAATAATTCTACATAAACATTCATATTATGCCATTACAAAAAAAAAAAAGCATTTATAGAAAAGAGAAGGCATATGGGTTTTTTTGATACGTAGGTGTCAGGGAACTGACATCGGAGCAGAGTGGAGAGGTTAGGCTCCCCGATGATGCCGGAGAGGGAACCAGTAAGGGAAGAGAGAGAGCTTCCGCTGGGGAAGGAAGTCCAGGTGACACCAGGAAGAAAGGAGAGGCTGAGAGCACTTCGGAGGGGAGGCTCCGAGACTCTTCCAGTGAGGTCAGTGAGGAGAGTGGAGGACCACCGCTTGGCACGCCCACTCTGCGCAGAAGGCTTCCGCGCAGAGAGGCGAGGAGGAGGTTGTCCGTTAAGGAATTCTTATGCTGGAAGAAGTTTAGGAAACGCCCACTGACGGATTCTGCCAGCGACTGAAGCAGCCGCGCAAAAGGGCTGCTCAGCTGGGGAAAGGCGCAACCACCCCAAGCAGTTTGGAGCAGTTGGAGGTTTACACACAAGCAACCCCAATTCCCATGATAGTAGGGGTACTGCATAATTTAACCAAGGGAAGGGACATGAGTGGATGGGAGATATGGGAGACAAGTACAGACCTCCCATTCCCCATAGTGGTCAGCTGAGCATGTCAATAATAAATAAGCAGTAAAGCTTATGCCCTATGATTTCTATTTGGAAATGTGTGCACATGAATCTTACTATTCTTATACTTCAGTTCTATTTCCTCTCTTCCTTTGATTTGTTACCACAAGAAAGAATTGCTAATACTAGTAATTCAACATTTTAAGTAACATAATTAAACCACTGATTTCCAAAAACGTCTTTTTTAAAGGGGGCAGCAGCTATTAGCAACAAACTTGTCTAAGTAGATAAGTATGTAAAGTATGAAAAACTGACAATTTAGACACCAGATTACAAGTCATTTTCTATCCAATGAAGCAAAGGAAAGCAAACATTTTTAATTATCGGTTTCAGCCATTATTCATTGCGCTAGAAATACCCTACTATTTTTATTTCCTCTTGGAGACTTTATCATCTGTTTTTCAAACACAGAGAGTAAGTAAGAGGTGTGTGCTTATTTCCCTAAGACACACCTGCAAAATGCACATTTTCAGAGAGAAAAAACACAAAACAAGTTGGATTTCTCTAAGAATTTAAAGTGCAAGTTAACCTAATATTTGGCGGTAGGGATCAGGTTATAATATAAAAGAACAATGCAGGTTTTAAAATCTGTAAAGCAAAATGTCTTCTCTCTCAGCATCTTTAGCCCAAAGCCTTGTGGCATATTTCTTTATTATTTTTGAAATTAGGAAATTTCTAAGAGATGAAAGTTCCCCGAATTTCCCCAGACACCTAGATGCTCTGAGCACAAAGAGAAGGGAGGGGTATCCCAGCAGCAAGACCTACCCTTTGTCCTGTTGTCCACTTCTATTTTCGCTGGCTCCTGAACTGCTGTGGCTGTGGGTATTCTTTTTCCAACTGTCTGTAAACATATAAACAACTCCTCTTTATTTTATTGTATCTCACCAAAAACTCAGCAAGGGAGTAATGAACATAACGTCACAATTCATGTCATTGCTCAATACTTTTTTTTTTTAAAAAAAAGATTAATTATTGATGTTATTCCCTCAGGCCTTACCTGCCAGAATTCCTTTAAGAAATGTAATTGTTTAGTTAACTGCCCCCTTGTGACCTTATAATTACATCCCATTCTGTGCCAATGAAGTTCTATCCCTGTAATCATATGAAATATCAAAGCTCTGCTGACAATTGAATATCCCATCACAAGCACTTGCGCATGGTATGCAGTAATAATTGACTATTAAATACTTCCAATCATTCCAAAATGTTTCACTTGGGAGTAAAAAGCTGTGGATATAAGTTGTCAAATAGCTACACCCAAAAGAAACAACACTGCATACATTAATTGGTATATGGAACCCAGTGATGTGAGCAGCATTTGGTCAGATGCAATAACTACCAATGAAGTTCTGGTATTCAAAGTAGCAACTTCAGTTGAACAATTTGAGATAGGATTATTGACTTTTATATCTATAGGCAAGTGCAGTTAAGCAGGACACTGAGCTTTGGAGCAGCTCACCTTCTTGAGAATTGACAAGACATTGACCTTTCCTGAAAAAAAAAAATAAACAGCAGAGGAACAAAATGCTATATAAAAGACCAAAACAGAGTTATTCGCTTACAGAGGTGTACCTTCTCCTCCCCCCCTTTTTTTCTTTTACACTATCATCTAAACACACATAGCCCAGATTTTAGTTGTGGAAGAACATTTTTCAGAATTCATTAGGAAGAAGCAGAGGATCTCAAATGAGATAATCCAAAATTTATGAGGGTGTCGGGCAAATCTGTCTGATGAACTAATTTAATTAATTAGCTAAAATGGTTGCATAAAAGAACGCATGGTGGCAAGGGAGCAAATTGTCTTCTGGCAGGCTGTTTGTATGAAAAGCGAAATAGCTGATTTATGCTTGAAGGGGCAAAGAGGTGATCCTGCCAATTAGGTCCATTTGTTTTTATACTGATGTCATCTGCCAGAAGGGTTGCCAGATGTTTTCTTTTAATGTGTCTTTTGTTTGAAGTATTGGTTCTTACTCCAGATTAAGAGCCCCACTTAACAGAATGCCCCTCATTTCATCTCCGCCACATTATGTTTCTGACATCTCATAAAATACAGAGTACTATTTTTGCAACCAACTATATTGCCCTCTGATGTTACACAGAGGACACATGAATGCTGTGGTTCTTTAAAAGTCCTTGCCATTCTCGGAAGCATTTCAAAACACAACACACCAAGCACCTCTCATCTCAGGTGTCTGAATTTGAACCTTTCACTATCACCAGGCTTAAGAAAGAAACAAATAAAAATAAAGGTGCAATTAGGGGAGATTTCTGGCTAAGGGCTCTTTGAGATCTTTTATCCTCCCATTTTATATCACAATGAAAAGTCACACAAAATTTACACTGGTAGGCCTCAATGATTATGGAAATCAAAAGTTACTTTTCCCGTGTTCAATAATGGCTTCGTATACATCATAAATTAAGCCAACACAATGGCATGGTAATTTTAAAACTATGCAAAGAACTCTAAGATTAAAATGGGGTGGGGCACAGAAGAATGCAAAAGGAAGCCGTGTGCACTATAATATGATTTGGACAGGATTACTGCAAACAACACCCATATTAATCTTGGCGTATATTTGTGGTTTGTTATATCAAGTAACAGCGTATCTACATGTTCTAGACTTCAATATCAACTCCTGGCTTCTTATTTGCATGTATTTTAAACACCGAACACTTTTGATTCAGAGATTCTAAGACTAAAAATTATACTCTTTACATCACACTCTTCTTCGGACATGATAATTATGTGGAAAATGCAGGAAGCACAATCGTATCCTGCTTCCTGTTTATGCCCTCTGTCTTTTTCCAAATTAGAACTTTCACATTCCCACCTCAAATGTGGAGATATGAAAGTTCTATTTTGGACAAGAAGAGTGAGGAAACGAAGAACACAAGAAATTTGCACGCTCTACTCCACAGCATTATCACATCTAAAGATGCTTAAAACAGATTTTTCATTATTATTTGTTATTTATTATTATTCAGCCTGTTCTGATGAATGTACCAGCTATATGGAACAGGGGAGCCTGAGGAAGCCTATCAACACAGCTCTTCAAAAATATGATTCAGATTCCACTTAAAGTCTAGGTATCATCTGTCCATTTAGACTTACGTGTTTTATATTTTTAGCATGTAGGGCTTACGTGAACGAGTTGCCCACACATGGATGTCCAATGGAACAGGTGGTTGTGGTTTATGGTCTGACCAGCTGCAGTCCCACTCTCTCACCAAATGCAGTTGACAGGTTCATCAGAAGTGGCTCACTGGTTATCCCAGTAGCAATATAGAGTATACAGAGGGGGAAAGAAGAGCTGCTGCTATAGTATAACTTGATTTATGTTCTTTAACTGTGCTGCACATTATTTAACCTTAGCTAGATAGAAATATTTTATCTATTTATTTACAAAATACCCTACATTACATAGTAATCACAGGACCTTTTCAACATAGTATAAAGCGCAGATGTCTTCTAAAAGTTTGGTAGCTATTTTTCTCTTTGACATCTGGTGGGAGGGTGTTCCACAGGGCAGGTGCCACTACTGAGAAGGCCCTCTGCCTGGTTCCCTGTAACTTGGCTTCTCGCAGCGAGCGAACCGCCAGAAGGCCCTCGGTGCTGGACCTCAGTGTTTGGGCAGAACGATGGAGTTGGAGACGCTCCATCGTTCCTCCGTACCTTGAGACCCCAGGAATGCCCTAACCATCTATCCCTCTAGGGGGGAAAATGACACAGTAAGGGCACCCCTACAGAGAAGACTCTATTCCCAATGTCATTCCATAGAGGGGGACATCCATAACCTTTGCCTACATGAGATGGGGTACCAGGGGCTCTCCAGATTTTGTAGGCGACAACTCTCATCATCGCAGACTGCTGGCCATGCTGGCTGAGGCTCATGGCAGCTGGAGCAAACTATTGTAATATACAACTACCCTTTAGATAAATAGCTACTAGAATTTAATCATCTTAGAATCTAGGACCTAGATGATCCAGTGGCAAAGAAATAAGAAAATATTATGAGATTTCGAGAAAAATAAGAAATCTATGAAATACAAGAAATGTGAAGTGTTGCAGTTAAGCCTAATAGCAGATGTTTGAAAGCAAAGTTGGATTTGCTGTGGGGTTTTCTATACCTTACAGCAGGCATAGGCAAACTCTGGCCCTCTAGATGTTTGGGACTACATCATCACTGACCACTGGTCCGGTTAGCTAGGGATGATGGGAATTGTAGTCCCAAACATCTGGGGGCCCAGAGTTTGCCTATGCCTGCCTTACAGGCTTGTGTCTGAACTAAATGCTACTGCCTCTGTCCATGGAGGGAAAATATACATAACAGTTATCCATCAGTAAGCAAATGACACAGACTAGGAGTTAATACTTTAAATAATGGAAGAAAAATGGTTACCATTCTTTCCTCTGCCTACTACTACTTTTTTAAGATAGCTATTCCACCCAGTGATATATTTTCTTTTGCTACCTGGATAAAAATATCCAATGTTGTTGAAGTGATCTGAGCACAGACTTCCAAATTACATGTTGCTAAGTATAATACTAAGCACTAATTTATAGTGTGAGAAGAGCTGGGGTAAACTATGCAGTACAGTAGCTAGAAGGAAAGGTATGGTGCCTCATTCAGAAATCCTATAATCCCGTTTTAGTTAGCTGTTTACCAGTTATTCTGGAAAGAGAGAGGCCCTTGTACTATATTTTGTTCTGTGTTGCTTTAAAAAAGTGATTACACACACACACACACACACACACACACACACACTCTACTGGGAAATACTATGTTTGCTTTCTACCATTATATAGACTCTTCTGTCTCTTCCATACATTCCTCGTTGATGAAAATAGCACAAAAGAGAGAATTAGAACCTTTATGCATTAGATTGAAATACTACTAACCTAATGAAGAAATGGCAAATAATACCCTTTGGCCAATATTGTATTTTAATCATTTGTCTCTAAAACTTTAATGAAATTGGGGTGCAGTGATTATCATCTGTCTACTTATTTCTTGCTCACATCAAGTCTAGTTAGTCTCTGAAATTTCTGGGAGTACCAGTCCTAAATCAACAACAGTTGTTTTCTGACATATATACTGTAGTCTACATTAAATCAAATTGTACTTTGAGAGCAGTGAACACAACCATCAGGCCTGTGTCAGAGGCTTGAAATTAATGCCTAGGTTGAGCAGTTCTCTGTTCTCAGCTAGTCATGCGCACTCATAAGAGGAATTTGGCCAGCATCCTGCTCTCACAGTGGCCACTGACCAATCACAATATGTAAGCTTTTTCAATGCAACTTAAAATGTAAGTATGCAGTACACAAAGCTTTATCATATGAATAGCAGATGCTGCACACATGACGGGCCAACAATTGGCAGTGAATTGACATATATCGAGTCCACTGGATTAACCCAGCCCCAAACTATAACTTCATTTAGCATAGGTTAGATACAGAATATAAGAACAATGAGAATCAATTATCAATCAAACTTCCAAACCATATTGAGAATCTGTCAAATTGAGACTTCCAGTCATGTTTGCATTGTTCAAACAAATATACAAGCAACTATATACTTTGGAAAAAAATGTTAGAAGCAGCAGCTGTGGAAGTCTGCTCTCAGGCAGAGAGTACTGAATGCACTTTACGCACAAAGAGGGTGCTTTGGTCCTCATATGTTGTTCCCACTACACTTTGCTAATGAACCACTGTAGAATTAGCATAGACAATGAAATCTGCACAACTGACTTCCCGCTGTGTGGAGCAAAGGTACCCATGTCCACTAGAGAGTGCACTCCCCCTGTGGTCACCATTGTGAATTACAGCACCCAGTGGTGCCA